TAGCTAGAAAAGGGTGGCTTTACAATTTTATATATTTTTTAAAGCTTCTATTGATATTTATATTATTTGCACTAAGCATTTTTAATGATAGTGATATCAGAATCTCAGAAGTTACAGAGAATGAAAGTCTCTAAACTATTAATGAAGTTAAATAGTCTCACTTGAAAATTATTAAAATTTTAAAACTTTGTTTATAATATAGCCATAATCAATAAATACTGTTTGAAATACAATTAAGCTACTAAAAAATATATACAAAGCTTTATTTTGCATTATATATATTTTTTATTTAACCTAACTTAATTAAGACTAAAATTTACTTTTTTTATATTTGCTGGAATTTATCATAGTTATTTTGTATTAAATTATATGTTTCAGATATGTAGCTTTTGACAATTTAGGAAGAAAATTAATCACAGGTATTGCAAACACTCCTGTAAACCAATCAATATTAAGGTATATATGATGTATAACTTATTTGATGTCCTTTAATATATCAATAATAAAATTTTAGGTACACATGCGATCGTTCATTATTCTTTAGTGAATTACGAAGAGTTCGTTCCGGGAATGGTGGTATGCCATATGGTAGTCAAATACTGAATAACTACTCTGAAAGAACTGCTCAGAATGAAGCAATTCAATCGCTTAGAACTATTGCAACTGAACCTTCGCATAGTGCACAATCAAATCTACTTGATACTGCAACAGTAGATAATCACGAAAGTTTTATACCACAATATACTGGTAATTCCAGACCGCGAATAGGAAGAGGAAGCGGAGAACTAGAACTTCCAAATGATGGTGATGGTGTACTTTTTTTAGGTGAATACAATATAAAAGGTTCAGTTTTATTTAAAATTTTATATAATAGATTCTAGTAATATATAAATATTAAATGATATTTTGTATCATATACTGAGTGTTTCATGACACGTAAACAAAAATTTATCTCTTTATTCCAAGTATAAAATAAACGTATAACAATATATAAACAAATTTTCAAAATTTAATAGTAATAAAAGAAATATTGTTAATGAAGCACAAAGCAACATATGTATATTTATACACACGTTGATACAGTATTACTAGTTGCATAATTACATTGTTATAATTTAATTGACATAAATTATTTTACTTTTTAGAACATATATCAGCACTAGAGTCAAACTTCTCTGGAATATCTAGTTACCGTGTACAGGCATGGGATTTTTCTAAAGGGGAAATACCTGATATTACAAATTGTAAATGCTTAATTATTATTGTATACTAAATATTTTAAATGCATGTTACTTTGTAATTTAATCATAAAGTATTTATAAAATTATAGGTGAGAAAAACATTGTTATACGCAAATGCAATATTCATAATGATGCTAGTATAGATATTTCATCAGATGGAAAACTATTAGCAACA